AATAAATAAAGTTGCCTGGGGGTCAGAGCTAATAGCAAACCATAGCAGAAGCCGGGAAGCAGTGGCGCACACCTTTAATTCTGATCACATGACAGGCAGATCTTTGTGTGTTCAAGGATACAGCCAGCATGGAGACACACGCCTTTAATCTCAATACCAACCATAGAGACCTAGAGGTCTGTATAGACAGGCAGTGATGAGGTCATGTGGTTGGGTTTACAACCAATGAGAAGGCAGAACAGAAAGACTATAAAAAGACAGCTACACAGGAAGTAGGTCTCATTCTGAGGGGAAGGACAACAGCGTCAGTGAAGGGTGAGAAAAGGTTTTTAGTATCAGCTCTTAGCTACTGCTCTGACTTCTTGGGCTTTTAACTCTGCATTTGGCTCTGTGTTTCTTATTTAATAAGACTGTTACACACACACACACACACACACACACACACACACACATGTGAAACAGACATGTGTAGTGTAGGCAAAACACTCATACCCATAAAATAAATAAATCTTAAGAAATCAGCCTAATGGCTCATCCACAGACAACAGGCTAAATGAACTATGGTACCTCCATACAACGAAAAACCGTATCGCAAAAACAGAGACAGTGTTTGTATATACTGACAGGGACGGACACATTTAGGATAAATAACTAAACAGGCAAGGCAGTGGGGTGCTGCATTTTAAACAAGTACCTACCGGGGCATATGTGTAAAGCTGGCCACCTCTGGCACCTCTGGTGAGAGTCTAAAGTAGGTAGCTAGGGGCAGGAGTCCAACATGGGTTTTACTCATGGGGTTTTAGAACTATTAGCTTATAAATAATATAAGATACTGAATATTTAAAAATTAACTTAAGGTAAAACACTTTGCTTGGACCATCAGAGTTGATGTCTTGCCTGGCCAAGCTAGGATGGGAAATTGTCTTCAAGTACTCACAATGTGGTCACTAGGGAAAATCGAGTCTGAGGCACAGGTTCACCCTCCTGGACCCCCACCCACAATATCTGAAGCATCTACTGAAGTCCTCATAACCATTCTTAGTCAAAATAAGGCACACATAGCCCCGGCTCTGCAAACATTTCTGTCCCCAGGACTGCCAGCCACCCACAAACACCCTGGCAGAACAGCTCCCTCCCTGCTGAGGGTACACCCAACCAAATGGGAAGGGCACACACAGGCCTTGGGCCTTCTGAATTGGACCAGACTCCCTTGGGTTTCCTGGTCACTGCTGTTCCCAAATGTTTCTGATCCCCACTTCCTCTAGTGGGACAGCGTGACACCACTCATACACACCCCCTGGGCTGAGTGGTCACTACCTGACTGAGTTTTCATCACTCGGATAGCCTTGGCCTTGGCCAGCTCCAGAACGGTGATCCACTGCTGCCGCTCCACCTCAGAGCTGGCCTTGAGGTGGTAGGTCCTCGCTCCGTTGCATAGCAAGATTCCACAAGAGTCCTCTGTGTCGATGTGTGCGGAGGCCAGGTTGATGGTTCCACGGCAGGTGTGGGCCATTTCACCCTGGTTTCTGTGGGATTCAAGAGAAGGTAGGAGGTGAGGCCTCCCGAACCCAGTAGTTCCAGATCGAAGAAACTCTCAAAGTAAATCTTCATCTCAGGCCCTGAGAGCTGGGAGACGCCCTGGGATCCCCAGTGGGAGAGAATGCCTTATCGGACTTGACCTCTTATGGGTTGGTCAAGGGACTCTGAGGCCATGTCTGCCTACCATGGGAGAGGTGGGAGACGGTCATGTAGCATGTCTACTGTGGTCTGAGCCTTCGAGGACACCAGGAAATGGAGAAGAGTCCCAACATGCAGAACAGGTCTGCAGCATCATGCCAGGATCTTTCCACTAACTCTTGGAAGCAAAGAGTGAGACATTGCCACTACAGCAGAGATTGGAGGCCCAGGGCTCAAAGGGGACAGATGATGGGGGTCAGGGGGGATTGGGGGCAGAGACTGGAGGCCCAGAGCTCAAAGGGGAGGACCAGGAGGGGGGTGGGGGTGGAGGAAGTACCTTCTGCTTTGAAGTAACCTAGGAATGGCATTGTCCTTGAGACTGTCATTCTCTTCCACCAAGAAAACCACAGAGCAAAGATGTGATCACTGTTGCTCAAGGCCATGGCAGGGCCGACAGGATGCCACCTCATGTCAAAGGAACAACCCTGCACCAGTGACAGGATTAGGGAGCTAACAACACCAGAGGTGAAGGAGCGGTGACTGAGTATGTTTTATTTCCAACACGGGCCCCATGTCTAGAAATGGAGTGGATTTACTTAACTCGCTCCCTTACACACAAGAAGGAAGTCCAGAACTCCATAAGAACCCCAGATCTGGGGTGTTGCAAAGGGAAGAACAGTTGGCAAGCAGCTAATAGTGCCAGGGGGATGAATTCACTGGGCAACTTCCTGCTGGGGTGGCCACTCTTGGTGGTCTGCCATCTTGACCACATCTGGAATTAACTGAAACCCAAGTGTCTGGGTACACCTGTGAGGTGTTTTTCTTGATTAAATCATTTGAAGTGGAAAGACCCATACTTAACCTGGACCTTTTGAGGTGAAAAGATCCACCTTTCATCCGGGCCACACCTTCTGATGACAGCCTCTATAAAGGGCATGGGAGAAGGAAGCTCTTGCTCTGTGCCTGCTTAAGGGAGAAAGTTGATTTCGGTTCAGAATGTAGTCAACCGAGCTCCAGAGGGCTCAGAAACGCCACATTCCAGCTCTGCTGCCCACAGCACACATGGATTCTATCAGGAGCGGGGAAGCTCCAGCCTCTGCCAGCGGTTTCCTATGATTCTCAGGGGCTTTCTGCATGGACACCAACCCTGCTACACCGTGCCTGGCCTCTGCTGCTCTCCATGACGCCCTCGATCTTGCATCCTTGGTGCTTTCATGACTAGCAATCACATGGATGCTGTGGACAAGCTTCTCTTCCCGGCTCAGGATGTCTGGCCACCCTGGACCACAGCTGCATCGGTTTAAGTGTGCTGACCCTGGGGAAACACTTCCTTAGGCGGTTGCTTCTGAGAAGCAGGGAACCCCTTCAGCTTAGGCTGTCTTTATTTTCATGAATTCAGACCCACTAGATGGAGTTTTCCCCCCCAGACACCTTCGGCTGATATCAGCTCCAACACGAATGCTCTTCCGTCCTGGAATTACCTATGCCAAGCAAATAGTAATTTTTTATTTACTTCACTCCAGGTTCTTAAGACATGGGCAGAACAGAAACACATTCTTGGCAAAAAATACATGTATGGCCCCTAGTAGATTCCTGATAGAATCTTTGTTCTCTGAAACCTCATCCACATTTCTCTCAGTGCTCTTATCTTCTAAGCTCTGACAGAATGGCCCATCAACCTCTGCTTATAGTATCAGGTGGCTTTTCTAGACCAAAGATCCAAGGTCTTCCACATTCCTCCTACAAAACAGTTCCAAAGGCCCGAGAGCCACGTGGTCAGGTTCAGACACTAACAGCCTCACTTCCAGCACCAGCTTCCATCCCAGCTCCTTCTGCGTCCCTCTGGTAAAACAACCCGCTGAAAACAATTTAAGGTTTATTTTGGCTCAGGGATCACGGTCTAGTCCATCACGGTGGGGAAGTCAAGGCGGCAGGGTCTGAAGCAGCTGATCAATCACATCCACAGCAGAAAGCAATAAGCAAATACATGGATGCTACTTAAAGCCCAGCCAATGACGCTGCCCACTGTAACTATGGTAATTATTTCCCACAGCAATTAATGTAATTAAGATAATCTCTCACGGACACGTTCAGAGCCCTTCTCCAGGCAATCCTAGATTGTGCTCAGCTGACGTTAGAGCGGCCATCACAACACCCAAACAAACAATCCCCTTCTGTTTGAAGAACGCTTTCCCTTTCTGACTCTGCTCTGCTTCGACCACGCCTCTTAGAGAAAGTGATGTGGAGCTGAAGCGAGACCAGAGCTGAGCTGGCAGCGGAGGAAAGGGACTCCGTTTGCAGACTTGGCAGAGCTGGAGTGTCTGTCACAAGGCTCACGTCGTGCATTTAATTTTAGGCTGGAGACTGCTGGGGTGTTAAATGTTACAGTGACTAACCAACAGCACCATGCTAGGCAGACTGTGTTCTAGGCATAAGCCACGCTTGTAAGACCAGGAGAATTCACAGGGCTTTCAGAGACCTGGAAAGGCCCCAGCACCATAACGCAGGGGAGCATGGGAGCAGAGGAACAGGACAGCAGGGGAGACAGAGGAGCTGGGGAGCAGGCAAAGGCCAAACGGAGAGCTGGTAGGCACATTAAGGAGTTAGACTCTTATACCCAAAGTCAAAACAGTGAGTCTCCTGGGCCCACTATCAGAAAAGAGAGAGAATCAACAGCTCCAGAAGTTTCTGTGGAAACACAGCAGACAAAAGTGTCTCATGCATGGTGGGAGATGGAAGAAGCCAGGCCACTGTGTGAAATCAGGGCTGCACTGTAAGTCATCCCTGGGCATAGTGTAGATCACAACCCACCATATATATATATATCACCTACTGTATATATAATAAATACCCAGCAGTCTGTGCAGGTACAAGCAAAGGACTGGAGAATGGGTGAGAAGTAAGATACTTATCAGAAGAAGCATAACCACGATTACACACTGTGATTGTTAATCTTGTCAATTTGCTTGGGAATCAACGAAGAGACACGCCTCTGGGTGGGTCTGTGAATATATTTCCTAAAAGGATTAATGGGGTGGGGGCTCCCCCAGAGTGAACAGAACCTTCCTTTGGCAGCCCAGATATAAAAACAGCTGAGGGTAAAGCGGGGCTGCTTTTGCCTGCTCTTCTTTACAGCTTGCTGGTGAGTGCATCTACTCCTGCTGGTGAGTGCATCTACTCCTGCTGGTGAGTGCATCTACTCCTGCTGGTGAGTGCATCTACTCCTGCTGGT